ATTTGTTAACAAAACCTGTGATTTTCCGGAACTAAAAAACCGGATTTTTTCCTGATTTTAGTTTTTTATTTTTTTTTTACAGGGATACTTTTCTACGAAAATTTACATGGTTATTCTTGCCAAAGACAATCACAAGATGACTAGATGTATTTACCTGTAATATACTTACTTCAGCTTCTGGTAATTTTGAGAAAGCAGAATTTCAAGTCTTTGACTCATCTTGATTATTTTCTTGGAATGAATCTAAAGAAATCAATTCAATAGATATACTTATCTCAATATTCGATGAAGATTTGTTATCCTCACTTATTATTTCTTCTGAATTAAAGGTATGAGACAATGAGATAGAGAGGATCGTTGTGATACTTATTTCTGTTTCCAGTAAAGTTTCTTCACATACTTTAGTTTTTATATCAGATTTCAGTTGGTCATGTGCCTGTGAAGAATTCTTCATGCTGATCAATTTTTGGAATTCAGATGATGAATGATACTTTCGCATCTAATTCTTCAGTATAGAGATTTATAATATTTTGAAACATATTTCTCACTATAATAATACCATCGCAATTTTTCTTTTTTGTCCAGTTTTTCAGTCTTGCCAAATAAAAGAGCTAAATGAGGTACGGAACCTGGGGGCAGATCTATATCAACAGGAATGTCCGAAATTTGTTTAATGAAGATAGATTTCAATGGGGTTTTCTTTAGATTTTGTAAGGACATGAAATCAGTGCCTCTAATAAATTCAAATAACTCATGTATTAAACCTTGTTCTACTTTCTGATTGTAGGGAATTTTGGAAGAAATGTCACGTATTTCGGGAGAAAGCCTTGCGTCTGTAGTATTCGAACCTTCATTATGATTAGATGGCATTTTCTCTGCTTCAGATATGGAAACATTCTTACTATGTGAGGTAGAAATTTGAGATTTTATGCTCTGTTTATGAGAAATATTAGCAGTATTCTCAGGAGTTGAGAACGACTCTTGATCCTGAAGTTTTTCTTTTCTTTTTCTCTCTCTTATTTCGTTACTAATCCTTTTTTTATTCACAGAACTCAAGAATTCATCGACCTTTTTATCTTCCGATGTTTTGGATTCTACGCAAATAGGCCGATGTAAATCAGATTTCGATGCATTATCTGATATATCTGATGCCAGTGCATCTTCATTTCGCGAGACCATTTGTTTAGGAGTATGGTTAGAATTTATTTCAGGGGAAACAGTTATTGGAACCTGCGAAACATTAGCAACAGTTTGATAACACTCCGTACCCTTGTCTTGCAAGCTCAGTCCCTTGATTAGTGAGACATTGCGTTCCAATTTAGCAATAAGGTCAGTTTTTTCTTCATCGCTCTGTTCCAGTTTAGCAATAAGGTTGGTCTTTTCTTTGTCTCTCTGCCCTAGATTCGTGAATCTCAACTTCTTCTTTATCTTGTTTTAGTTTTATATTTTCGGATTTGATATTAGCATTCTCTTTTCTAAGTTTATCGATTTCGGCTATAAGCCTAGAATTCAATTCCTTCAATGAATCAACTGTGGATTGTGCGCTTGCCATTGTTTTAATTAAGATATGAATATATTCAAAAGGTTAATCACACTAAAAAAATATTGGTGTGTAAAAGTCGCGTTAATACGCCTTTGCTTTATTTATTGTAATAAAAATCGAAAAGAAAGTCAAATCTATCTATTGTTTCTATACTATTTGCCTACACTATAAATTATCTAAACTACAACATTATTATGATCCAGTTTCGATATCCTGGATAGAATAAAAATGATTATTAGTTGTACGAAGCATGCAATCACCCAATGTGTACCAGTTGATTGTCCGTTATCTTTTTCGAAGAAGATTGAAAGTTTATATTGCCTGCCTTTTGCAGTGTTAATAAATCTGTACGAAAGAGTGATCATAAGTTTGCAAGTCCAGAAGATGGTACATTAGAATGAATTGTCACAAATGAAGTATTCATACCTTAATTGCGTGTTCGGAACTTTCGCTGAAGATAAAATTATTGATTATTTCTGGTTGCAAGATCTGATCAAATCCAACATCCCCACTCCACGATTATATGATTTAATAATATTTAAATAATTATTGCTGTTAATAGAACCAAAAAGTGCCATTCTCCAAAGTAAAATATAATTAAATATAACCTTCGTATTCCGTGTAAGTGCTAGTGTTCGGAGTATACGTTAAATATGTTTACAAGACTACGCGTCCCGCCTATTAGGATAACAAAAAAATATTGCATCCAACTTTCTTCCTGACGCTTCTGGGTATCAGGTTTACTTGTCCTACGAGAGGGACAGCGTCCGTACACCCCTTTTTTATTAGGATAACCATGATCTCGCATGGCATCCAGCGTTCGTCTTTAATGAACCAAATTAACTTGGATTCAGATTACTTGCCCTACGAAAAAGGGATACGGTGTCTTGTAAAGAATCTCAACGCCAGGATCGGAGTTTAGACCGTTATTATTATTTATAAAATGTTATGCAGATTATTAGCTAAGATGGCGCAACATGATTGGCTAGTGTACATAAGAAGAGCCAGTCACGGGGTTGACCGGAATAAAGTGGGCTGACCGGAATTAGTTTGTTGGGCGATAATTGATCTAAATCATATTTTTGACCGGCTTCCCTAATAACGTGATAAAGTTGAATCCAACACGTGAACAAATCATTGGCGTAATGGAGAAAAAATTAAAGAAGGACTCGAGATTTCTTTCCCGAACCATAGTAAGTTTCAAAGTATAGTTTACGTACAAGTAACGAAAATTGACTCATCAATGCATTCAGGAAAATATCGAGAAAAAACGGGAAGTCGCGATCAAACAATTACAGGAGCAGGCTGTAGTCATCGCTTCCGAAGAATATGTTGAACGTTCACAGGGAGCTCGTTCCATTATTGCGCGTGATTTTTTGCCGCAAAATTATAAAAAAAGAAATCAGGAAGATGTACTGGTGAGCATTTTTATACAATAAGTTGAGAAGAATTCTACAAAATTAATTATTTGCTTCAATACTTTCAGGACGATGATTCTGAAAAAAATGCTGTCAAAAAATACAAAGACACTACACCAGCACCACAAACTCCAGGAAACCAGGTGGTAGCTGATGAACCAGATTTAGATTATCTGAGCGAGCAGACAAATGTAAGCGATAAAAAACAATACATTATGGATCTGATTAAAAAATTGCTGTTTCTACATTTAACCTAAAATTTTCACAGGACGAATTAAATTCCGGGGTATCATCTATCTATGAGGACGAAGATGAAGAAAATTCTTTAGATGACAGTTCTGATGAAGAAGATACGGTCGAACTTGCAGACATATCATTTATTTCTTTTGTTTGTTCAAAAACCGATAACAAAAATTATAAATGGAAATTAAAGAATGATGAAAGTGTAAGAAGTCGGCTCATAGTTATGACAAAAAAAGCAATCGAAGTAGCAAAACAAGCCGAAAAAGTTGACACAAAAACAATGAGTGTTATAAGGTAATAATATTACTATTAATGGTACTTTTGAATTTATTAATTATTTTATAAACGTATGGACAGGTTGGGACTATCTTCCATAATAGATCTTTCGTCTGAGTTCAAAGGGGGAATGCACACCTGGTTTGGGGACAACTGGTTGCCATTAAAGAAAGAAGTATTTTCAAAAATTGACTTGAAAGTTGAAAAGTTTACTGGAGAAGTATCAGAATTGATAACAAAAGTAGAAAATGTATATAAACCGTACTATCTGTTGAAAACTATTACCACATGTGGTCAAATTTTTTACTCTTTTCATTATACTATACATTTAGCTTTGTAATTCATATGATTATTTGGGGGCACGAAAACTTGTATTAGAAAAAATAACGGAACGGCCTATTGATAATCAAATGAGACAAGTGGCTAAAATATATTTTAACATGTATGTGTATTATATTTTTTTTGTGTTTCGTTTCTTGTTTTGCAATCCACCGAATTAAGTTGAAACTTTATTTTATCAGCATTGATTTATTTTTAGAAAATCCTTATACTTTTGTTAATGATGATGGCCAGCTTCAAAATCACACCGAAATCCAATATGTGATGATTTTAGCAAGCCCTATTTTAGACATAATATTCTCAGATCAACGAGATCATGTTAGACTGATGTGGTAAATAGTTTTATTAACTCCGAAGAAATTTTCAATTGCGGATCTGATAAATTGATTCACCAATTTTCAGGGGAGAAACAGTTTCACAAGTCACTAATGATTCAAGAAAAAAGATTGATCTTTGTATAAGAACTAAGGATGGTATGAAGGAGTTGAGCCATTCTGAATGTGCTCGGGAAGCTACATTTATAAAAATCCTAAAAGATCGAAGCAAATCGCTTAGAACAAATAAATGTATACTTGACAAATATATTGGGAACGATCTTCCAGATGAAGCTTTAGAAGATACAGCAATTTTTGGGTTACAACTGGCAGGTAAGGTCATATCATCATTGAATATTACATTATTCATATTTGTTAGAATTAGTTGTTTCATGTTTTAGCTTTGGAAGGTCAAATAATTGGAATTGATTTACTGGACGAAGGGCTATACTTCGGATTTGATGGACCAGCTTTCAAGTTTCCTGCTCAGATTTGTAGTATTAGTGTCTTAAGGCATGCATTGGAAGTTTTATATTATTTTAAGGTAGGTAAATTTGATCTTTTGAGTCCTACGTTTAGTGATTATAAAAATGCATATAAAGACTCCATGGGTAATAGGAGAAAGTCATCAAAAGAGCAAAATATTTGCTCCAGAATTCAAGCGAAACCAACAAGATCACCAAACTTTTACATTCCGAAAATATTGAGGGGTCAAATCACTACAAAATTAATTATATCCGGAAAACTTATTTTGAACCCAAAAAACAATCTTTAGCCAACGAATCAAATAAGTTGCATGCTAAATTTAACAAAAAATAGTGTTTCATTTGTTGTTTATTTTTTTACTTACGAAAAATATATAACAGCAATTTTGGGTTGGTCTCGTGTGTGATGTTTGATTAAATAAATTATTGGGATCTTCGCTATGAAAGAATAAGTGTATTCGGATTTTTGAAATAAACGCGTTACAATTTGTAACGCAGATCACTTTCGCCAAGAAAATTCACAAAATCGAAAAAAAAAGTTAAAACTTGTTATAAATAAAATATGTATATACCGTACATACAATAAAAGTCACAAAATAAATCGGATTAATATAAATAAATTAACATGCGGATCTTCTATAAACTTCTATAATATGTTGATCGAATATAATTTTACCGGTACAGATAGTTATTATAATGTTATTATATAATCATTCATTTTTTGCAAGTGATCTTAAACTATTACTACCTCTACACCCCCCCCCCCCAGTTTACTTTCAAGATCTCGAAAAAAGGCATCGAAGACGAATTATTCAAGAGTTGCTTAGCCAGAGGTTACTCCCATCAAAATCCAACACTTATAAAATTAACTTTGATATACTCACCAATCACCACCTCGATATACTTACGAACACTATTCAGGAGCATTATGATCTGACAAGAATATCTAATGGTTAATATATTTTTTCACACAAACAATATTTATATCTATATATCTCTCATTACAAATATCCCCACAAAATATGACGAATATAATACTCTTAAAGAGTTGGTTCAAGAATCCAGACCCTATGGGGTACAGCAGAGACCGTACTCATTAAGTAGATTTTGGTTGAATATTACACAATTTAATAAATTTTTTTTTATATTATTTTAAAGTACTTTAAATATCTTGTATTACTCGCTTGTGTTATATGTAAGGGTAATTATAGGCATTTCTGGCTGGAGATATATAACTTATATATCTCTGGTCCGATTAGTCAATCAAAAAATGAAAATATCACGTGATATATATTACACGTGATCACACGGCAGACAATGTGTCGGACAATCTGAGCCGGACTTATATGGGGGTTGGCAGTTTTCACGTCACATCAGTATTACCGATGTATATGTATTTGACTAGTTTGTTTTTGCTTTTTGTTTTTTTTTTATTTTGCTTATTGTTCTTTTTTATTTTACTTTTTGTTC